GTTGCCCAGGTGCAGAGAGCTCAGGTTCCTCAGGCTGGAAAAGGGGGAGCTCTTCCCCAGCTCTCTGTAGGAATTGCCTTGAAGGTGGAGGTGCTGCAGTGACAAAAGGTGCCCAAACCACGCAGGGGACACSTGAGCCAAGCTATTATTGGATAAGTCCAAGAGCTCCAGCTTTGCCAGCGACTGGAATGCGTCCTCATCTATGGAGCTGATTTTGTTGGACTGCAGCMACAGGGCCCTCAGGTTCACAGCCTGCTGCAGGTCCTGGGATCGGATGTGCTTTATCCTGTTGTGGGCCAGGTTTAATGCCGTGATTCTGGCTGTGATCCCAGGGGGAATGAAGTCCAATCCCACGGCAGAGCAGTTGCAATCCTGACTGGCAACACATGAAGGACAAGCCTGCTCCAGYGTTTGCTGTTCAGAGAGGTGCACAGCCAAGAGCACACAGATGGCCACCACTCGCCAGGTGTGGGTAGTTCTTGATTTGTGTTTCATTTGGGCGAACATTTTGCTGTAGTAAACAGAAAGGAGAGAAGGTAGAGTCAAATTTTAATTTTGAACAGCAGATGACAATTCTTGAAATCCTGTRCCACTTTATGAGTAATCTCAGATTAATTTTTTTTTAAGCATTATCCTGTGATGTCAGTCTCCTCCTACTTCAGCTTCTGAGCCCTGGAAGAACAGTGTGGTGCTCACCCCTGCCGTACAGCCATATCACTTGCCAAAAGTCATAAAGGACCGTTCTTGGTGTCCTACCTTTCCATATGCCATTTCTGGCTGTGGCTCTCACCTCTTCYATCCCTCACATTATGCCTCCTGTCAGCAGAGAAGCTACAGCTGAGTGTTTCAGCCCCAAACAGGGGAAGATGGTTAGATCATCAACGATCTGGATGAGAGGATCCAGGGCACTCTCAGACAGTTTGCAGACAACACCATGTTGGACAAGGAGTGTTGAKCTGCTGGAGGGTAAGAAGGTTCTACAGAGKGGTTTGGATTGGATGGATCCATGGCCTGAGGCCAATTTTATGAGACACAACAAAGTGAAGCACCATRAATTGCACTCAGGTCACAATAACCCCATGGAGCATTACACATTGGGGTCAGAGTGGCTGAAAAGCCGCCCAGCAGAAAAGGAYCTGGAGGTGCTGGTCCACAGGCAGCTGAATATGAGGCAGCGTATGCCAGGTGGCCAAGAAGGCCAATGGCATCAGCAATGGTGTGGCCAGCAGGACCAGAGCAGTGACTATCACCTGTGCTGGACACTGGTGAGGCCACATCTCAAATCCTGTGGTCAGTTCTGAGCCCCTCACAGCAAGAAGGACAYTGAGGGGCTGGAGCTTGTCCAGAGAAGGGCAAGRGAGCCAGGGAAGAGTCTATAATGTAAGTCTCCTGAGGAGCAGCTGAGAGAGCTGCAGTTTTTTGGTCTGGAGAAAAGGWGGCTCAGAGGGGACCTGATCACTCTAGAACTGTCTGAGGGCTGTAGTCAGGTGAGCTCAGTCTCTTCTCCCAGGTAACAAGTGATAGGAAAAGAGGAAATGGCCTCAAGTTGGACCAAAGGAGGTTTAAATTGGAAAAAAATTTTCGCAGAAAGAGTGGTCAAGCACTGGCACAGACGGCCGAGGGAAGTGATAGAGTCACCATCCCTGGAGGTGTTTACAAGACATGCAGACAGTGTTTAAGGACATAGTTCAGTGGCAGGCTTGGCAGTATTTGGTTAATGGTTTGGCTCAATGATGTTAAGGGTCTTTTTAAACCAAAGTGATGCTGTGATTCTGTGATTACAAACACTCTGGTCCCTTGCTGCCCATCCTGTACAGATTCGTGGCAGGCAGAAGCCCAAGCAGAGCCTGCTCCACCTCTCAGCCCTTCTAGCGGGCTGTGGTTCCAACACCACAAACATGCCCAGAAAGGGTCTGAGGGTCCCCTCCATGGAGTCTCACCCGCCTCAGGGCTTCTAAAAGCAGAGCTCCTGCCACACCCTTTGGCACACTGTGTAAGCAATTCACACTCTTTACTGGAAAGGCAGAACCCGCTGATAAGCAATGAAGTCTATCAGACTTTTCTGTAACACGACACCAGTAATAGATGGGAATTGGATGTTACCGCCACCCTATAAACAGTGGATGTAATTAGAAAAACACTGATTTTAATGTAAAGAAGGGCTGGGATTCATGCCACAGGTGCCAAAGAACACTTCACCARGTGTGAACTCTTCCAGACAAACAGTACCCATAAACCCTGAATAAGCAGAGGTTAAGTGCTCACCTTGTGTGCTGCGTGCTGTTTCAGTCTCCTCATGTGCTGATCATGGCATCCAAGTGGTCACCTCACACCTGCAAACACAACAAAAGCTGGAAAATATTGGCAGGTCTGATGACATGACAGTCCTGAAGTGAGAAGATATTTCACCCTCAAAATACTGTTCTCCTCAGACAAAACTGCATGTTCCCAGTATCCCAGTGCCCTTTAACTACGCAGTTAGTGAATGATGCCAGTTTGCATCTCTTCYTTCTGGGGCTGGCTTCCCTAAGGAAATATGGCTTCTGGAGAGTCCAGGATTGTCCAGCATGTATGGCTCACCCTTCAAAACTCACATTTCAACCAATTCTATCATTGCTGCTGACATCCATAAAATGGGAACAGATTGTGCTCGCACTCTCTACTTTGCATRATAAAATTTGGTGTCAGTCTCTTATTTTTTTTTCAGTCGACTCCCATTGCTGGAAAGGCTGATGCAACCATTTTACGCAAGTCATTCTTTCATAATCACTTCCTCCACTCTTAAGGGCAGAAATAGTTCGCCTGTAGAACCGCATTCACCTCCCTGTACCTCTACTTTTGATACTTTTTGTCTGGTAGGCACTGGGGGGTTGTTTACTGTGCTGAGAAACAGATCATCTCAGCACAACCAAGTTATGTAAGTACTATAAATTATTACAGCTATATAGAGTGCTACATGTATTATATTAAGTGTTGGAATCAAACTGTTTAGTCAAGAAGAGTCCTAGAGAAACACTCAGCATGCTTTCAGTTCATAGAACASTACAGTTGTATGCTGTCAACAAACMGAAAATGAATAGGAATGGGAATGAGATTCTGTCTGAAACACAAGACATGGTCRGAAGGGAAGTACCCCTCCATAAGTATCAAAGGCAATTTTGAGAGAGGACGCTTGATGATATTTATTTGAGCTTGGCCGAATGGAAACATAGGGCCAAGAAGTCTTCCTAGCAGCTCTGAAAGGGAAGCCCATTAACTTCAAACACCAAACATTCCTATTGCAGTTACCATTTTCTTTCTGTGATCCAAAATAGCCACTTTTTGCTGCCCTCAAGCACTGAGAAGTACCTGCCTGAGAGCAGACAGACAGACAGACTGATTCCTGCCACGTGGCAGAGGGCCCACAGCAGCATCTGTGCGATCAAGGCGGGCAAAGCCCACAGAGACCCCAAGTGCACTTCATAGCAATCATCAGTCCCACAGCATYGGGACTTCAGACATCAGTATTGCACATTAGGTTAAGAAAAAAAGAAATTGAAAGACTGAGACACCCTTACATTTTCTGTCTTCTACAGAGGAAAGCTGGTAAGCATAACAATGTGAAATAGGAGCAAAACAGCTGTGGGGGAGAGCAGAGAAGGGAAATACTTTCAGTGAAGGGATGTCACCAACTTCCCCAAAGCCACCTCTTCCCTCTGGCACCTCTGAGCTGAAATAGTTCTTGTTCTTCAATAGGGATGACTTTCAGTTCTCAAAATATTAGCTCTGGGTTCAATGAGACACATTCCTTTACATTTTTGTCTTCAAAACTTCACCTCCTTGATACAGTTAAAAATTTCACTWAATTTGGGATGAGCTTTGGAGAAGAAGACCATGTACATCATGAATGCAAAATGGGCACACTCTTCTGCCTGTTAAAACTTCATGACCAGCACTCATGGACACCTGAGGTAGGCACCAGCAGTTTTTTTCAGAAGTATCAACTTTCTCCTGACATCCAGGCTCAGCCAGCTCTCGTCACAGACCTACACTGGCCCAAGTTTCTGGTTTCTCTCAGAAAGAGAAGACTGGTGTGACCATGCCACAGTTGACAAACCAAGCAGTWCATTTCTGCAAGCTGCTTAGAATGGCAATAAATGGGGGTGATTGTCAGGGTTTGTCACATTATCCAGAGTTGGGAAGGTTCAAGCGTGCTCAAAAATGCTCTCCACAAGCTGCCCCACACACAGAGACATGACACCAGCCACCTGCTTTCCAGAACACTGGCTTTCAAATGGAGCTGAAGCATGGCTCAAATCAACTTCTTTTGAAATAAAAGAGCCTAAAGTAGGAGAAAGCTGATGTTTTTAAGATGAAAATACTCTTCAACTGCTTTTTCTCCAGAGTAACTTCATGTTTAGCACTRAACAAAGGTGCACCTTGTGGGCACTTTCTCTCCTCCTCCAAATTTTAGCTRTGATTAACCTCCCTCTTTTACACTGTTTTTAAAAAGTCATATGCCTTCACCTACATTACATTTTCCCAAGAGAAGCACATGGATCTGCCACAAGCCTGTGCTTTTGTGATTGCAGATGTTCCAAGCAGAGACACCACACAAGCCTTTGCCGGCAGGTAGGTGGATATAAGATAGAGATGCAGTCATTATTTTTGAAGCTGTCTTACTTTAAATGTTCCTGTTTATCCAACAGCAGCACAAGCAGTGCACAAACTGGGCATGATGCACTCCTTAAGCACTTCCCATTCCCAGACTCACACGAAAGGATCTTGTAGCCCATCCCCTCCCTTCCTCTCTTTCCTCTTCTGTGTCMCTGCCCACATTCAGAGCTGCCTGTTCCTTTTCTGCTGAGAAAGAACAAGTGAGGAGCAGAAAAGACCCAACCCAGGCAACAGCCTGCCCCAGATCCCTGCCTCAAAGAAAAAGCAGAAGCAGTAGGAAAGGGAGGGAGGCATGAATCCTCTGACCAGCCCGCGATACGAGCAGAAACACTGCAAATCTTTCTAAACAGCACGAAACTGCTTCCTGATACTTATCCCTGTTAACCAGCATGTGCCAGCATGTCACCATGGCCCAGGAGTGCCAGGCAGCATGAACCCCAGATGTTCTTACCATGACCCCCCTCAGAAATGAAGGGCAAGGAAAAGCCAGAAGTCAAATCTGTCCTTGGAATCTTTGGAGCAGGAGGTACAATACTCGTGTAATTGGAAGCAGAATGGCTTGGCACCCTCTCATGCTCCTGGGAACAGAGCCTTTGCATGCACTGCTGGTGCCTGTGCTTTAATCTGTCTTGCAGGGCTTCAGGCATTCATCTTCAAGCCACAACTAAAAGGTACACAGGAACGAAAAGTAAACCACTTAAACTTTGTCGTGTTCCGTATCAGACCTACCCTGCCAGCTGCTCAATCCCCTGGTCAGATCTTCAGACCAAAAGTGGACTCAATTACTTTTGTTTTTCTTCTGGGCCGTCCTCATGCTGTATTCCTGGTTAGTCACTCAACAGCCAGACTACAGCACTGCCCCTGCCTAGGAAGCAGAGTTGCTGATTTATTTTTGTCATATCCTTTCTGAAAGCACGCAGTCAGAAAAGCACAACACTGATTTGTTGCCTTAAATGAGGAGCAGCTAGTAAGGAAGTTCACAGGCTGAGACACCAAAGTTTATCCTAACAATTTGAAAAGTTTTGTTTTTCTAGAATAATTCTAACAGCATGACTCAACCAGAGAAAACATATAATTTCTGCCAAAGTATTCCTGATGAATTTTTGACTCCCAAAGAAACTGCATCAACAGGAAACAGCTCACATGCAAGGCAAAGCTGGACAACACAGTTCCTTTCTTACTTTGCACTTTAKGTACAGTGAAAAAGCTAGTTTCTGACAGGAATAATAGGATACACAGTAACTACATATTTTCCAGTAATACACAATTAAAAAAGGCAAGTTTTGACATCCTATTCTGAAAGCCACTGTGCCAAACACACAGAATCCTGTTGTCACCACACAAGATGAGCACTCTGAGACAGCTCACACAGAACAGGTCCCCACAGCCATTGCTGCTTGTTCCCYCAGCCTGCAGGGATAGGATACCAGTCAAATGTGCTGATGAGTGGCTCAGCCACACAAAAATGTTGGACACCCAGTGGGATCAATGGCACCCGTGTCTGGCACAAGGCTCCCTGGCATGCTGCGGAGAGAAAGGCAAAATATAAAACTGATGCCAACAACTGATGATCTTCCGTGGTGCACGTGTGGAAGAGCTCTGTCTGGAAATACATCTGGTTGAGCACAGCTTCCTCTGAGCAYTGCCCAGAGCTTCCAGCATCCCTGGGCAAGGGGGCCAGCTCCCAGAGAAGACACAGGGATGGGAACGACACATGGAGAGAGGCTCAGAGCAGCCTTGACCTCAGTTTTTCCAGCAGTCCAGCCTGGCTTCACCAACCCTTTCCATATTCACAACCCTGGATCTCCACAGGAATTCCAGAGGGAGCCTGATCAGGCTGCAGGACTCAGAATYCTGAAACACACACATGGTACTGGGTCCGTCCCCCAAACACAGACATAACCTGGACAGGAGATCATATTTTCTTTCAAATTATTTTCTGCAATTTTCATATTATTAGTTGTTCAACATTATCAATGTACGAACCTAGTTCTAAAGCTTTTTTAGACATCCTCAAGAAATACCTCTGTGTAGCTTTCCCAAATACCACTCACATGGCATTTTGATGGAGTTTTTTTCTTTGCTCTACATCTATCACACTCTTTTGTGTCCAGTTTGCTTTGCAGTGTCCCAGACTGTATGACAGAGGTCATCTGTTATGGGCTGCCAAGAGAGGATCTGGAGGGCCATGCCATATTTCCAGTTTTTTAGAAAAGAGGTGACATTCCTGTTTCCAAGCACAGATTTTGCAGGTTTTTGGACAGAGCCACAAACACTTATGGTCATGGGATCCCAGCACAGGCTGCTGGAACAGTGGGAAAGAGAGAGCAATGGGATTTCTTGTGCTCGCTGTTTGGACAGCTTCTGCTTCATTTCATCTGACCAGGAGAGAAAACACCCTGTCACAGCCCACCGGGTGYGAGCCATCACTGGCAGGCTGTTGTGAGGAAGGCAGGGTTTAACATCCTGGCACTGGAATTTCCCATAAGGAGGGAAAAAGCTTTGCTCAGCTCCAAGTAAAAGCTCTTTCCAGAGAGGCTGGGCACAGGGAGTGAATGTTGGTGCATTCCAGAGTGGGAAAGGTTCAGCAAACCTTGTCTTGCCTCATTCAGAGGAATGCATGGACACATCCGGTGCTTACACCCATCTAGTGCTAATTGGCTGAAAAAAGTGCTTTCTTTTTCCTGTTTTGTTTCGGTTTTTTTTTTGTTTCTTGGTTTGTTTCTTTTAATGGAAGTGAAACATTCCTGGGAATGGGACCAAGTCATTGAAGAACCAGATAGAGTTTGTTTCCTGTATGGAGGTGGACAGCACTTTGTTGGGATGCAGATACATATTTAGCTGCTTGTTATACAAAAGAAAAAAATTATGTTTAACAGTTGGGCAAGAATCTGAGCAGGAAATGAAGCAGATCATTATCATGCACCATAAAAATATAAAGATTTTTGTATTTGTTCCAGAAAAAGATAATGCCAGGATGCATTTTGCCCAGGTAGTTCAGGCTTTGCATTCAGCTGCTGTCTCCCTCTCCATCTGATGCCATAAAATATTTCAGACATGACAGTGGATTTCAGAAAGAGAAAATTCATCAGGTCCAAATTTTTTTTTCAGCTATTCAAGACCTCAAAAATTCTTCCTTCAGTATAGATTCTTTCTGGATTTAAAAACTATCCAAACTCAATATTTTTAAAAATTTTAAAAATCGAATGCACTGTTTCCTAGGGCTTTTTCACTGGAAAAATGACATATTCTGTGAGTCTCCTGCAGGATTATTCTATTGTCTTCTTTTCCAATTGCATRATTTTTAAAACAAACTTTTTATAAGCTTGACTTCAACCAAGCTGTAAACATGCATGACAACATAATTTTTACTGAAAATGAAAAGCCTGATCACAAAAAGATGTCAGTAAATATCTGACAGGGCCATCAAACCATCTTCAAATAATAAGTTATTTCCAATATTGGACCCTTCTCTGACTTTCTGAATTTGGGCATGATTGAAAACAGACAGCCCAAGCTGATTTTCAAGCACACACTCAGCTATTTTAATAATTCCTTCTAAATTATCCTCAGATTGCATTTCTTGCTCTTCTGTAAGTTTTCTTGACTGTAACAGTACCAGCTCAGTAATGACGGATTCAGAAAAGGCCATGTGACTTGTGCCTGTGCTGCAAGATGCCTTTTTGTCTTAATCTACAGAAAGACACACACCACACCAGATGATCAACCCCAAAACCAAGGYGTTTTCCACTGCTGCAAAATACCTGTGTTTACAAACTTCGGGTTGAATGCCTCTCTAACACCCAGAGTAAGTTATCTGAAGGTGCCAGGAAGAGCAAAGCAGTGCTGGGGCCAGGCAGGCGTGGCTGGGATGGTCTGGAGATGGCTCTGGCACAGCCCCACTGCAGCTGCCCACGGTGTCCCACACTGCACCACAGAGCTGCTGTCAGTCCATGGCTTTGATGGGAAATGCTTTGCTTTCRTCAGGTTTTGCTTCAACCCAGCAGTTTTTGGCTCATGGTGGAAGAAAGCGAGCAGAGGCTGGGCAGGAATGGCAGGGACCTGGGAGGGAATTATCCTTCCTTCTCAGTGCCYTGTTACCCCAGCAGTGATGGTCCAGAAACATTGCTGATGCTGCAGGACTTCTGGCAGGATTTAGGAACTCCAGAGTCTAAACCCTTAATGCAACRGATGATTCCAAATGTAGGGCAACAGAAAATCATAAGAAATCCCTCTCTTCACTTGAAACCAAGTAGAAAACTTACACAAAGATTGCAACAGAGGGTTGTAACAATGCTAAAAAAGACTTTTGTATATCTCTAATAAGTATATCTCTAATAAGTATATCTCTAGTAAGCATGGTAATTCGTGCTTTCAAGTAATTTGCTCTGCCTTTTGCAGCTTTCGGACAGAAGAGTTGTCAAAGGAAGAGGAATCAAAGAAAATACACGCTAAAAACCAGAAAAGTACAACCAAATTCCATGTCCGTAGCTGAAACTACAGGACCAGAATAAAAAGGCTGAGAGATAACCACAGGGTAACAGAATTTGGCTACCTCACATCTGCTCTACCATGGGAAAGARCAGCAAATTAGATGTACTCTCTGACTTTATATCAGTTCTGGTGATACTCYTTCAACACTTAACTCACCGTGAAGTTGGCACCTGTGGGTACAAAAAAATCTTTGTTTCTTTGGGTCTTATTATCCAATGTCTATCAACTCCTACCCAACAGATGGGCCACCTGGTTTGTTTTCAGCTTATAACTTACACAAGTGTCAGCATAAATATTCTTTTCTATTTATAGACACTGTTACTTTTTCACTTCTTTCATGTGCTACTTTTATGACATCATTTAAAATTAATTTCCTGAATGTTCCGTGATTAACAGTTTCAARAAGTTTCCCTTAAAATCAGTTCTCYRGAGTACTTTATGTCTCTGGGGTTCATTCCTTGAATGATTTGGGGACCCAGCTCACATCTGGAACCAAAAGGCCAGTCAACCCTCTGTTGAGAAGAATCCTCCTTGGTTATCTCTCTGGTGTATCCATGCTTGCCTTTGCCAGTGTCCTCTCTGATATTTGCAAAGCCTCCCAGCTGAACAGAATTTTTCAAGAGTCACTAACAAAAAGGCAATGAGGAATGGGCGAAGGGATGGATAAAGTGAGGGCTGGCTGGAGTCTTCTCCCCTACTGTTCGGTGGTCTAAACTTTTCTGTAAAATAAGTATTTCTCACACTTCTCATGATGAAACTCAGCTTGTGAATGAGCTTGGCTTGCTCCCTGCTTCTGCAGGTGGAGAAATCCTGCCTCCAGGCTGGGCAGCGCTTTCCTCTTCAGGGGGAACTCAGCAAGGAGCTGGCAAGCTGGTTTGCTGGACAAGAAATCTGTGAGCTCATAACTTCTCCCTGAGTAACAGGACAACATTGATACCAGCAACTCAGTCAGGGTGAGTCAGGTCTGCAACTGGATTAAGGGACAAGGGAACGTTTCCATCCGTTTTGGCTCCTCTTGTCGAAGCAGCCTGCCGCCCATGAAGGAGCTGCTTTGTGCTTCACTCTGCTTTTACTCCTTGCAGGAAGGCCCCAAATAAATGCCCCATCCCCCCAGGAATGCCACCAATCATAAAATAATCCCTCTMCAATTGCTTTCCCTAGCTCTGCTGGCACAAAGACGACTGCACACT